CTAAAAGAGGAAGGCGCCAAGGACTATCATATGGAGGACCTATAGGTTCTCAAGGACTCTTATATGGAGATAACCAAAGGTCCTCAAGAGCTATGCTCTCGAGGTACCGATAGGTCCTCATGGGCTCTGCTATGGAGGTACCCATTGATCATCATGGACTATCCTATGGAGGTACCCATAGGTCCTCAAGGGCTATCCTATGCAAGGATCCGTAGGTCCTCAAGGGCGATCCTATGGAGATACCCGTAGATCTTCAGGGGCTATCCTATGGAGGAACCCATAGGTCCTCAACCTCAAGGGCTATCCTATGCAAGGACCCATAGGTCCTGAAGGGGTATTATATAGAGATACCCATAAACCCTCAAGGGCTATTATATGAGGGCACCTATGGATCCACAAGGGTCGTCCCATAGGGTACCCTCAAGCCCTAAAATGTGTAAGACAATGAAGGGATTAGGCTACAAGAGGTACAAGCGACATAAATATAAAAGTTTTAACAGCAACAATAGTTGTAACTACACAATGTATAAAGAGAGACTACCATTGACAGAATTTACTTTTGCAGAAAAACTGGATGTGGGTGTGGATGGGTGGGGATGTGTGGGTGCAAGTGTGGAGAGTGTGGATGTGGTGTGGGTGTGGATGTGGGTGGGTGGGTGTAAATGTGAAGAGTGTGGGTGAAGGGTGGGTGTGGGTGGGTGGGAGTGTGTGGGTGCAGATGTGGAGAGTGTGGATGTGGTGTGAGTGTGTGTGGATGTGGATGGGTGGGTGGGTGTAAGTGTGGAGAGTGTGGGTGTGGATGTGGATGTGGGTGGATGTAAGTGTAGAGAATGTAGGTGTGGGTGGGTGTAGCTGTCGGGAGTATGAGTGTGGGTGCGTGAGTGTGAGTGCAATCCGTTGCTATCCTATACCTACATCCACATCCACATCCATACCCACCCACACCCACACCCACACCCACACCCACACCCATCCGCACCCACATCCATACCCACACCCCGCACCCACACCCACACATCCGCACCCTCTTTGGAATAATGTGTTTGTATTTTTTTGACATTTTTTTTTTGCAATTATAATTTTATCATCATCATCAATATCATCTATAAGTTAGATTTTTTTTTTCATTAGCTGTACATATAACATATGGATAAGCGAATTTGAACATATAGATACGAAAGAAAAGGAAAAGACGATAGAACGAAAAAAGTTATTTAGAGAGATATACACAGAACGAAAAGAACAGCTGTTTTCACTGGGAAATCGTATTTTAAAAATTTTTGCCGGGGACTTGGGAGTACCCATTCGAGATAATTACGGACTATTGCTCAACTTTTCACGCTCTTTCCAGCGGTATAATTTTTATGGGGTCGGCACGAAATAAGTCTTCGACCCGGTTGATATGTATTATTGAGAAAAGAAGGACATCTTCGCTGGCATGACATAGATTTTCAAATGCAGTTTATTTTTGACTGATATTTTGTATCACAATGATTATATTTGATTAGAATAATAAATTTAAAAAGTGCAGCCTGTAGAGTGCTTCTGTTTGTCTTCGTAGGTGTTGCATGTTGCCGTCTTGCACCATATAGTATCGATAATTATATTCTGGTTTAATTCAAATAAAACTCCGGCTTTTTTTAATGAAAAATCAATGCTCAGGAATTCTGTTAATCATCAAAGTGAAATCAATACTTTACAGAAATATGTTTCGCTGTATAATAATGTAAAATTTTAGGAAGATATATTACTATCATAATATCAGCTTGATTTTCTTTTCAATTAGAGCAATGCATTTGCAAGAGAAAAACTGATCCGACCAACAAACCAATTTCTCTTGTACATATTTATTTCAGTCTTTCCACATATAGTAGAATACGATTATCTTTGCAAGAACCTTCAAGTTTCTTTATGAAGAAATGCAATCTGCATAAATACGCATGTTTTTCAGTTTAGCTCGTATTGTATGCTTCATTAATCGTGAAGTTCTCAATATTTTACTTAAGACTTTTCCTGCTTTCAAAAATCAACTTATTTGTATTCTTAAGGTATGGGTCTCTAAGATCTTTACAAGAATAAATTGTTCATTATTATATTTACGAATGCAAAATCTACATATTATGCGAAAAATACAATGAAGCCGCAGAGTATTTAAAGTTTCTAAATATTTTTCAAAACGTATGAATTATATTTTAGGATGGATAAAAAAAATATATGAATTTCATGAAAGTCAAAATATTATCAGTTTCATTCATCAAGAAGTGCTCAATTGTTTGTACCAGATCTAAGAAATCTATACAATTCAAAATCATCTCAAACTTTGACAAGATTCGCTCATTAAATTTACACTATTAGAACAATTCTATAGATCAAAAAATGTCTGAAATAGTATATAGCAATTACCAGATTGATAACATTCGAATATAGAATGTACATGATTTCAATAGGTTTTTGAAACTACTAGGAAAACTTATTGTAACTTTATTGATTCGAAAATTTGATATTTTAGCTGAACGAAATTCTATATCGATTCGGATAAATTGATAATGCTCACTTCTAGTATTGGCACTTAACATTCATATTGTACATATGATCAATATTCATAATGAATAAAAGATCTATAAGCATCCATCCATACAATGAAAAGCTGATAAGAGTAAATTATATTTATTTTTTCACTGTAAGAAATACAAGACAGACTCAATTTCAATTGTGTTGCGTTGCTTGATGGTGTCGAATTATGTAAATAAACCAATACTTGTTCAAGTAGCATTAGAGAAAATTCAATTTCTTATATTACCATACAAATGAAATTTTTTCCCACAAGACATCATGAAAAAATATAATTGATAGTTAATTCTGCGATTTTTTTTTCATTTTTCGTTCTTCTCACGAAATCAGCTAGACAGAATTTTATGGACATTTTTCAATTTAACCATACGCCAGCAGTACCCTAATCATCTGAAGTATTGATCAAGAACACAACAATATAACCTTATAGCATATTTCTCTTTCGCTTCTAGATAAAACCAAATTCAGTTTCACAACAGAAGAAGAATATGCACTCATCCTCATCTATCAGACCATTCTTGTTACAAGACAGCGCTTCTAAGTTTCCAGAAATATGGACAAAAGTGGAAGATATTCAAACTAATACAAAGCAACAGGTGCCTCTTTTATCATCAGTCCCTTCTAATCATCAAAAAAATATCTTCAATGAAAACTCATCGTGAGTTGTAGCATTTATTCGATTATATATTTCACATATCTATGTATCTCTACTAGAGTTTCGAAAGTCTCAACTGCTGAAAATAAAATAACACTTTCAAAGATATTAATTGTAGCCATGGGATTTAGCATTATGATCGGTTTGGCAGGATTATCAATGGGTATTTATTCAATCGTTCGTTTATCCAAAGATAATAGTACACAAGGTGAGCATACTTGAAAAATCTTCAAGAAATTATTTAAATTGAATTTTTTTATTTTCAAATGTAACTGAGCTTATTTTATGCATATACGAAAAAAGAAATGCATTTCTTAGATGTACTTTGTTTTTTTACTTTCTTTCAAGTTAAGGTCACATACTTCTGCTACGATTTAGTTTTTTTCTTATTCAAAAACAATTTTTAAATAAAAAAAGAAATGCAACAATGATGATGAATCATCAATCCGATATAATAAATGGTTCTTACCAGTACCCAATCTGCAGTGAAAGTTTGATAAGGTCTGAGTATTACCACTGTTGCTTTTTTAGATAATGTGCCTAAAAGTATCAACACTTTGAACGTTGGTCGAATAGAATGCTTTTAAGAACCCTTCTAAATGATAGTAAAGAATGTGAATCTTCGATTCGAAAGCCATATTTTTTGTTTCGTATGTTGCGGCTAAAAAAAGCTAAGTATTAACATAGTCTTATTTGTAAATGTAGTCGTATGGATAGTATTAAAAAGAAGAACCATAATATAGCATTCGTTCAAGTGTGAACCAGTTCACAGTTTTCATTTGTGATAAAATGATGCCATCTATCAACTCAAGTTTCTAAGAGCTAATCTAATTACAGTACCATCAGTGTCCAATATAAATCGAATTATTTTTTGGTGATCCAACGAAGCATAATGTGACTCGAGTCGGGCATGGGTCATAAACTACAGAGAAAAGCTCAGCCATTCCTTCCAGAGTTAATAACGTAAAGAGAATAGAGATGAAGCAAAGACATAAAAGAAACGAACAGTACAATATGTCCCCACAATATATTATGAATAAATTAATATGTTGTATATTTTTAATGAAATGACTCGAGTCTTCAAATCAAATCGACCACTTGTTCAAGCATTCTATAAAAAATCAAATGCAATCATTAGAAACAAAACTGATATGAAAAAATAATCTTTCAATTAATTAGAAGTTTGATTGGCAGTCAGATTTTGTCACCAGTTCAATTGTTTTTATTTTATTCAGATTTTCTTCTCTACGATGACATTAAATTTTAGGGACTAGTTCGCTTGGATACCGTTGGTATACAGCAGGAACTACCGTTGCTGGTACTGGATCTTCTACGAGTCCACTATCTTCTCGACTCTATGGTCCCAGGAAGATATGTTTTGGTGCAACCAGTTTGCTTTATATTGCCGATGTGTACGATAATAGAATTCAAGCATGGAAAGTTGGTGATTCGACAGGAACAACTGTAACCGGCGGATCAAATGCAGTGGCAGGCAATACATCAACTGATTTGAACAACCCTTTTAGCGTTTATGTAGACTCGAATAATAATACTTATGTAGCTGATACCTACAATCATCGGATTCAATTTTGGTCTAGTGGAGCACTAAACGGAACAACACTCATCGGTACCGGTAAGAAAGAACTGTTATTGTCGAATACACACTTTTCCCTATGAAGCACAGACGTTTACTTACGATTACATTGACATCAGAGAAGATAAGGTAGTTTCTATCATAACATCAGTAATGATCAGAATAGACAAGATGATTATTTAAACTATAGAATATTATAGATTTATAATAGATTCAATGCCGTATGATTTTTGAGAGAATACGTTTTCCAACATATATGTGTGTGTCTAATAGCTTTTATTAAGTAATAGCACATGTTTATATATGTTAATTTTGAAAGATAAAGTTCTGCTGTAAAGAAAGATCTACGCCATATCCATATTTTCAAAAAAAAACTTCCCATCAAAATATTTCTTTAAGTAAGAATGAATATATAAATGAAAAATAATAACTGATGTCTATCATACTCAAAGAAAATTTTTTTATATGTTATTTTAGGTGTAAATGGTTCTGCACTGAATCAACTAAACTATCCTCGAGATCTTACCTATGATTCATCTTCGAACATTCTTTACATATCAGACACTGACAATCATCGGATTTTAAGTTATACATCAGGTGCATCCAACGGTATTGTAGTTGCTGGTGGTAATGGACCAGGTACGACGTACAATCAGTTATTCAGTCCAGATGGTATTTATTTTGATTCATCGTCAAACAGTTTGTATATTACCAACTTTGGTGCTCATACAATCGTCCGATGGATTGTCGGTTCTAGTGGATGGACACTTGTGGCAGGATCTATTGGTTCTGCTGGTAGTACATCAACATTGCTAAATAGTCCATCAGACGTCTTACTTGATTCGAATGGTAACGTCTATGTAGCTGATACAGGCAATCATAGGATACAGTTTTTTCTTTCTGGTCAACGAAATGCAACGACTATTGCTGGTGTCACAGGAACTGTTGGCAATTTATATACTTTACTGAATTCTCCACGTTCATTAGACCTGGACAAACAATTAAATCTTTATGTATCGGACACAGGCAACAATCGCATACAAATGTTCACTCGATATTAAAGAAAAACAATTTCTTTCTCCTATAACACAATTATACTTTTACTGGTTTTTTTTTTCAATTTTATACTGTAAGCCATCGTCATCTAAAATAATTATCCTACTCGAATAAATGAAATTCATACAATATATCTTTTCGTAATGTCTAAATATTATCTTATACCTTTTGACTGCAGTAAAATTCATTCTAAAATAAATTCTAAAATAAAATTCTTCATCATTTTCAAATCTAGAAGATCATAGTCCAGTTGTAAACGTAAAAGATAAGAACGAAGATCATAGCGTTGCAACTAAGTAAGCAGTGCCATTATTTAAATTATGATTTCACTAAAGAGTTCGTCAGAAAATATAATTTTCTATCGATTGATTGTTGTGTATCTCTTATTGGTTCAAATTTTTCCTCTGAAGAGAAAACAATAATGTCCATAATTTTAATGTTGCACCTTGAAGTATTTTGTTGTTAAAACGATCATTGCAGTTTCGTTTCAATATAAGAACTAGTGAAAATTTCCTATCTTAGGTATTGTTACTAACTTTCTCTGTCGTACATACAGACTCACATTCTTTACTGATATATTAAGCCAAATCAAAAAAAGTCACTGATAAAGTCACAATTAATTTGGTTTAAATAAATACAAAATATGAAATATTTGTCTATTGTAAAAAAAAATCAGTATCTCAAAATCATGAGACCACTATTTTATAAATGT